AATCTACTTCACAGTCTCAATTTGGGAAATTCAACCAATTGACGGCGGTAATGTGTAAATGAGTGATGTTGGCTTTTCACCATAAATGCAGGGCTCGTTTCTCTATCAACGTCAACCACCGCAAGTATACATCTCCCACTGGTGACCATGTCGCCGTCTTCTCCGTCCTCATCCTCTCCACATCGAGCCAATGGTACCAAGCCTCATATGGTCGACCAGATATCCGGAAATTGTTCTCTTGCTATCAAGCAAACCTTTCTCAACCCAGGCATGGTCTTTGCTACCCTAGACCGCGACGGGAAGTATCGAGCGTTGGGATTCGCGATGGAAACAGTGTTCCAGACGATCATTGTCACTCATATCAGTCATTCGGATGCTCCTGCACACTGGGAAACTTCCTGGAGGAAACCAGACTCAATGGTTTCGCAGGCGACAGAGAAAGACTCTACAAATCAAATCCCTGCACAGTCAGGCCAATCAGTGGAGAGTGTTACACTCATATGTGAAGTAGACGTCTCCCGTGGTGAGTTTTGTTTTTGGTTCTCTGTTGCAATCCAACGGCGCAATATCTTTGCCGTGCATACAATAAAATGTTCTATTTGAATGAAGATATGGCAAACAACCATCATCTTTTGCATGGCGGGTGTACCGCGTTCCTCGTTGACATGTCAGTACTCCATTCGCGCAGCTTGTGAAAACGACTGAATGCTATCGTTCAGGTGCTCGTCTCTTTCAGTCGTCGCACTCACCATGATGCGGAGGTCTATCAAGAGTCCTTCGCCCGCCGTGCAGAATCATCCGGCCCAATTTGATATGCTCTCACAGTCAATGAATGTCGTGTATCATTCGCCCTCGCAGGTGTAGGTTGGGTAGTTTGCGCAACGGTGTTGAAATTGACGGTCTTCATTCCAGTGGCGACAGACTACGAATCGTTTCCACGACAATGCCGATGCGGGAGCTAGTCTCCAATGTATGTGTTCAAACCGAGGTAAGGCCTTGCGTGTATGGCCCTCTGACGGTACAGTAGCTTACGCTCACGATGCCTAGATATGGAGTACGACTCAACATCGCCTCGTGGCTTCTGGTGTTCAGAACATGATGAAAATGTCCTCAGGTTCGCGCCTATGAGACCCGAAAAGTCGAGGTAGAGGATCACACTGGTAGCTCACAGTCGCAATGATATCGTGCGTTGATTCTTTACATGACATGCAAGCACAGTACAAGTATTCTACTGAAAATGATATTCACATACAACAAAGAAAACCCGGGTTGGTCGAAGATCGAAAGGTAATAAAATAATCCCACTCGGATCTGGTATGCACAAACTCTCCTCGCCCAACTAACAGACCGTGATTGTCCTCCCCCACTTCGTGAAAGCGCAAAACTGGCTGAACAGGCCCAGCTGCACTTGATGGTAGATGAATGATCGTTGGTCGGTTTTTGAACGAAATGAGAATGCACACAATGCAGTGCAGCAGTGGTAAAATGATAGATGGTCTGAGAAAAACAATATGAGTCAATCAAGGTGGGATTCGACGAGTAAAATGGGACGTACGATGAACGAATAAGAAAATGGATTGATGATTAGGTCGTGCATATTTAGGCAACGACACAAGATGAGTTGGCACCAGAGCCGGAATCTTCCTCATCGCGAGGGAGTTCGACGACGACGTCCTCGACGGTAGCGGAGGCGGTGAAGAAAGTAGCGATGGTGGTGAAAGCGTCCATGTCAGAGGTTATACGGGTGAGTAAAGGATGTGCAAGGACGATGTCAGAGACTGGGTCGGTTGAACGGGCAGTAGACTGTGTCTGAGGAACTCAAGAAAAAACTTGCCCTCCTTTTATACTACTCCAGCTACTCGCAGGCGGAGCGGCCGGTCTGGATATCTGATTGGCCATCGAGGGAGAACATTATTGTCCACACGGAACTCAACGTTAATTTTCGATTTTTTATTGTCATCTTGCGAAGCGAATGTATCCGAGAACACCAGGCGCAGGGAAGTACGGAATGTCGGGCTGTGACTATCTTGTTTGTGGCGATATTGATGCTCCTTTGGGGTAGTAAAAATACAATAAGAACGATCGACGAGTTCAGGCGGCTTCGTCATCATAGAGAAATCAAACAAAAAGAATTCCTGATAAGTCATCAAGTGGCTATGAAAACCAGGGCATTGCGAAAGGCCGGGAAGCTCTGACCATTGATGGGCCTGTTTCATAGGATGAGTGCTTTATGGATCCGGATGCGGTCCTTTCTAGAAATAGAAATTCGGATGATCTGGTATGTGCCCTCGTATCCGACTCTTGTTCTGATAGTTGTGGATGTCTTACCTTCAACCTCAACCAGACAGAAAAGCAAGGATGATCTCGAAGGACTCTAGAACTTGGGACAAGGCTGCAAAGGCTAGAACGCGCTCAACGTTGTGACTGCGAGAAGGACAAGATCGACTTGCCTTCTTGACCGGACGGACAGGGTGCAGTTCATTTCCACCATACTATCGTCTGAAGATGAGATTACCTTAGATTACAATAAGCGTTCAACACCCAATGCCCATGCAAGCGCCGCAACCGGAAAATGCGTCTGAAAAGGGCAAGCCTCGAGGCGGGTCACATTAGTCCAAGTTCCGCGAGGAAGGTCGGCTTGTATAGCGGAAACGCTGTGAGCCAGTAAGGTCCCGGCATTAATCTTCAGAAGGGCTCATTGGGTGTATCATGACCTGCTTCTCAATTTTGAAGATGTGATCGCATGGGAAAGACATATCTGCTTCCATTGACCTTAACAAAAAATCAGAGGAGCTTGCGATAAGAGCGAGAGTGTCAGTCGAAGCGACCAGAAAGCGACTTGGATTCGAGCTACCTGCTGGAAAGTCAGAGTCAACGATATACCGCAAGTCTGAGTCTGTTGGCAGTGATGAGAAGAAGGGCGCTTATTTTCGCGTGGCTATAACCTCGAGCGCTAATGAATCTGGATGTTTCTGCCCCCCATTGAACGATGCCAACAGTGCTGACGGCGTCCCATGGGGTCAGTTTACCGTCTATCCCTTCTTCGTCGCTCTCATCTTCGTCTACAACATTAGGGATTCTATCTCCTTCCATGTCTTCTTCCTTCTTCAGTTCATCTCATTCCTCCTCATCGCCACTCGACTCTCTATTCCCATCGATTCGTCTTCTGCTGTCTCGAGCTTTATCGCTACCATGTTCTACGGCCGCCCAAGCCTTCACTCAGCTTGTTCAACCACATCTGAGATTCCAAGTTGCTCTGTACGCGTTGTTGCCTGTTTTGGACGGAGATATGGATGCCCAGTCGTTGGATACTATCAGTGCCACTCCGAGCTCTGACTTTCAGAATAATAACTATCAAGTGTCTCAGAGAATCCTCGTCGCATTCATCTTGTTCTCGCTCTATGCGCCTCATCCAATATCCATCAACCCATTCAGATCGGCGCTGCTGATGACGTTTGTGAATGAAAAGGAACGGGCGATTCGGGCTGCTAAAGCTCATGCAGATGCCGGTAGCATGATTGGAGTGGCAGGAACCACGTCCAGCGAGCAGCTCGTATGGGTTCTCTGGAAGATTCTACGCGGAGATGGGAATGACATTGGTCCATATTCCCCATCAACACTAGCTCGTTCGCCATTGCCCCCAAAGCTGGCGGCTATAAACTTGTTCCTGGATGAGACCGATGATAATGACTTGTATGTATTCTTGGATCTTGAACTGTCTATATGACGATTCACATTCCCACTCAGAGATATTTATTTAACTTCTGCCAGCAAAGCAAGCTCTTTCGACACTCACACTGACGCAAATGTAACCACTAATAATTCACATACAACATTCATTACACCATCTGAAGATCTTCAGAACGCTGCCATCAGTCGTGGTCTAGCTCTTCTTCTCGCGGCTCGTGAACGAGTCCTGACTCTCTCCGAACGGCGGTCGCTCGAACCCATATTTCCTGCGCTCGCTGCGTCAGATGTCATAACAGCCAACGATCTATCCTCCATCGTCACATATAATCCAGATGTTGCTTATCCCCTGTTTGTGGAGATGCTGACGGCATCCGCTTCCTCTGCCTCCAATTTCCTTAATATTCTTGACATCCTTCCGTATCTGCCTCCTACTCTATTCACCTTCGATTTCATGGGGAAACTTTTGCGAGACACACGATTGATCTCGCTTCCAAACGCCACTCGACATCTCATCGAGGACGACGGGTATGATCAGATACATACCCCCGAGTCGCGTATCCCTCTAGGAAGACTCGTACGAGATCAAGTTCTAGCTAGATTCATGCACGAGTGCATCGAACGGCTGGAGAAAGAAGAAAGAGAACGGACGTCCGTTGAGGGACCTGGGAGTAGTAGCGATGGCAATGATGCTTGGGGCAGAGGTGTACGGAATCTTTGTAGATTCTACCTCTCCTTGATCAAGCTGAACATCGTTCAAAGTCCCTCTTCTTTCTCAATCCATGGGGAGGACATGGAGAACAATCATTACACCGACTCATTCTCAGCAGATTCTGTCGAAATCGCACACTTCGCGTTGAGGAACTCGAGGTTCGAGGAAGCGAGGATGCTCTATGGTGTGCTGGCGACTGGTGATTATGATATATAGAGCAACTTCCAACATCTTCAGAAGGAGTTTTCTGAGCATCACATTGACGTAAGTTCCCTGTTTCATACTTCTTCGTTTGTTGTATATCTCGTCTGTTGTACAAGAACTTCGGACTGGATATGTATGCATCACCATATTTATTTTTTCATGCATCCTCCCTTGTAACTCGTTACTCAACCCCTCACCAATACGATAAACCATCCCTCTTACTTACACCCCTTATGCTTTCTCTCCTTCAGTTACAGTACTGTTCACTTACTTATACTCATATGTACATGCTTTCGTACTTTGGTCTATGCCTTCTGCATTATGAATCTATGAAGCTTGAATGTTACTGACATCGACAATAACAATCTGTACTTTACGGAAGCAACAACAAAGCATCGGTGAGATGGCCGAGCGGTCTAAGGCGCCAGATTAAGGAGACCAACGCATCAGATGCGTTCAATATTCTGGTCACGTAGTGGCGTGGGTTCGAATCCCACTCTCATCATATCTTTTTTGCGTATGCCATTTCGAATCCCGGTGAATTATATACGAGACAACAGTAGAAAACGTCGTAAATTAGCAAGTACTCCTTCCAATAGCTTACATACATCATGAAGTTCAATCCTCGTCAGAGCTCTCCGTCTCGTACTCATCTTCTTCCTGAGTGTTGTCTTTGGATTTTCCCTTCCCCCCGTTTTTCAAAATCCGCGAGTGCACCATCTCCACAACAAGCTGACCTCCAGACAAAGCCTTGAGATCACCTAGGCGGGTATTAGGTGACCAGGGAATAGGTTGACGTGGATACGCAGAGACAAGCACGAATCCCCACCACTCATTCGGTTTTGGTACGTGAGAGGAGAGCAGCTTGTGGAGTGTGTCGAATGAATACGAGGATGACGGTAGGGAAGACGACGAGACAGAGGTAGAGACCAGCTCAGTATCCACATACGCATATAAAGTGTCCAGCGTGTCCGAATGCACATCAAACCGCCTCATCAGTCTCCGTCCATCAGGCATACGTACGGCAATCCTGATGGATTCCTTCGCATTAGACTCAACAGGTAACGTCTGCCTGAACCATGCTCTCCAACGGTCCCGTTCTTCCGCCCGTTCCAACGCCTGCAGACGTTCTCGTTCAAGCATCTCATGTTCCTTCCTCTTCTGATCTTCCTCAGCCTGTTTCCGCTGTAGCTCAGCCTTTTCTTCTTCCATCTTTCTCAGGATCCTCTCTTTATCCCTCCGCTTGGTTTCTTCGAATGCTCTATCCTGAGCCTCCCGAAGCTCGCGTTCTCTGGCCCGCTCTCGTTCCACTGCCTCCCGTTGTGCTCGTGTTCGGTCCAGATAGGGTTTTACCCTGGGCAGAAGCGTATCTCGTAGATGCGTGATCAGCGCGGAGGAGGTACAAGAAGAGGCGCCGAGGTGACGGGATAGGACTGTGAGTGCAGGTGTAGACTGACTAGCAGTTGTCGAGTGCGATCCAGAGGATGAAGTAAAATTTCTACTCGGTTGCATCCCAATGAATGCAACGAAAGGATAAGTAGTCGCTCCGAGCTTCATGCTTGCTTCATATGCTTCCTTATCCCGTATATCACCACCCCAGCAAATTATGTCGTTCTCGACTAGAAGTTGCACAAATTCATTATTCGTAAGCGTGGAGCTCTTGAACTCTGCCGTCGAATCGTGTTCTGCTGAGACAAGAACGATGCATCCAATTCTGAATGAAGATTGACATGAACGAAGGATGGAATCGTATGTCCCGAGCTGGAAGGGAGGAAGCAACTTGCTTGAGCCTGAACGGTCCGCTGTGTGTCGGGAGGTAAGGACAGATGGACCAGCTTCGTCAGAAGCAGTGCCCACAGAGGGGTTCACTTGTACACCCGTTGCGTCGACGGATCCAGAGGCACCAGCACAGATAGCACCGGTTTCTTCTTCTAATTCACGGATCCAACGTTCTATACCTCCACCAGCACGTCGTACGGCCGTGCGCCCCGATGCTCGTCGGTAAAAGTTGAGCGACAAGAACGGGATGTATGGAAGAGGAATACGCAGAAAGTTGAAAATGAAACGGACAAGCGAGGAGATGAGATGGAGTGGGTAGATTATCAAGCTCAGAACAGAAGTAGATTGCCGAGGCTAGAGCACGAAAACGTTCAACGTTCACAATGTTGCGAGGCAGCAAATGTGAACATACTGGTTCTCTAGGCCTTAGCAAGCCTTGTTCAGAATCGTCGACGTTGAACTCTTCATAACGTCTTCCGTACGAGTCCTCCAAGTTACCACGGGTAGTAGTGCTTGTCGTCCTGCTACTCCCTGCTCGGCTACTACTACTCCCTCCTGCTTGCCCATCAAAAATAATCTCCGCAGCTCGCTGTATGTCCCAATCCACACTGCTTAGCACGTCCATGGCGACTTCATCGTCCCCGCCATTGGTCAAGTCGCGTAGTTGGCTCAACGCGCTCGCTTGGGCGGGTGTCAGAGAGGAGATATCCATGTATACACCTTGACGAAGCCAATGTTTACTTAGCTTGTATGGCGGTCCTTTGCGGATGAAGGAGCACTTTTTTGTTGTATGTTGGTCGTTGTGACTGTTCAAGTTGTTGTGGACGCCTTGTGGCACGCCCAAGGCAGTACTATCAGCACGTGGATGATTGCACATAGATGAGCAATCACTCTCAGCAGAACTCAGCAGAAACCATTTCAATTTTCGTATGCAGACTAGTACCGCAGTGGAGAGTATATCGTTGGAAGGAAGGATACAGGTGCACAAACTTGAGCATGAACTACTTTGACCTGACTAGTAGTCCCCTACTACAGCTTGTCTATGTACGACGCGATACCGCAGCGTTTAGCAGGGCAAAGCTCCGCCGGAGTCCATATGCAATCAGCTCGAAGCCATTTAGACTGGGTTATTCATCCTGGAGTTAGAACAGATGAAGTGGTTCCATCGCTGAAATAGGACGTATGATGAATGGTCGGAGTGGTGGTGGAAACGGAATGAGTTAAGTTCATCGTATCCGTCTGAGTAAATCGAGCTTGATGCCTGAGATAGAAGATATGAACTCCTCCGTGCGCTATCTCGAGGGCTCAGAGTTTGTATGAGCATATGAGCGCCCGCTGACTGGAGCTGTCAAGGGAGACGTTTGAGCAACATTAGACAGTAGCAAGACTGGATATGAAGGATAGGTTGTCATTTGCGAGCACCCACCGATGATATGGCCCGACGCCGTGTCAACTGCTGTTTAGAGAATGTATCCATTATAGTCTGATTGCATCCTCCGCCCAGGTTGAGACGACTCTTGCACCTCAATCTTCCGTACAATTTTCCAAGGGATCAAGACCTGGCCGACAAAACGCCCAGAGCGAACACTGTCGTCTTCGTGGTTACTTTTTCCGGTTTCTGGATTATCTAGACGGAATTCCTGTGTGTCGATCAACAGGATGTTCATTGGCTGGTCTGTTCCGATGAAAGATCCGAGAAATATGCGCCCGTCAGCGACACTGATACGAAGAGTCGAGCTGAGAAGTTGACGCAGTTGGGCAATCGCAGGTGACTCTGTGGAGGAGGACATGATCATGGAAGGGAATGAACAAATCTAGAGCGCTCCTTCAGCGCCTTTTGGCCTTTTTTGGCGCCCGACGCGTCAGTCACGCGCCATCACGCAGAATCACGCTCACTACGTGTCACTCTCTAACTCTCTTTAACTGAACGCTCACCACCAAGTATTTCCCCAAGACCAATGTTTTGCAAATTGCTCTGAACCTCGTCAAACACTATATCACAAGCACAGGCGTATATTACTCTGAATCAACTCAATCCACCCTCATATGAACCCATTTGCCTCTGGTGCAGCTCTCGACATGCAAGGCCAATTTCCTACTCAAGATACCCATATGTACTCTGTTATTCTCCCCACCTACAACGAAAGAAAGAATCTACCCATTATCGTCTGGCTGCTAGCGAAAACGTTTACGGAAAAGTGCGTCTCGAACTCTCCTCTTTACACAATATGTTTACTCTGAATTTCTAGCCAGCTTGCATGGGAAATCATCATCGTGGACGATGCTAGTCCTGATGGCACACAGGAGATAGCAAGGCAACTCGCGGTAGCGTATGGAGAAGATAAAATTGCAAGTCGAATTGTGACCCAGAATAGCATCAATTATTGACGTCGACTGAACAGATCCTAAAGCCGCGTGCTGGTAAACTAGGCTTAGGGTCAGACTCAATCCTCTTTCCATGATGAAACCACTAATCAACAACACACAGGACAGCCTACATCCATGGTCTCAACTTTGTTCGGGGTGACTTTGTCATTATCATGGATGCTGATTTTTCGCATCATGTATGTCTCTATTTATGACCTTCTCCTTGACTCTTTGCGGCATTTCACCATCATACTCCTTCTTTCAAACTCTTTCTATATCGTGACCGTCCTAGTCCAACACTAACATGCCAAATTCGAGTAGCCGAAATTCATACCACAGTTTATCCAGTACGTCTTCTCATTTCCTCAACCTTCATCTCTTACGGTCTCCTCAGACAACAGAAAGCACACAATTTCGACATTGTTACTGGCACGCGATACCGTTCGACTGCCTCGCCTCCATTGACTGTTGCCCAACCTGGAGGAGTGCATGGATGGGACCTGAAACGGAAACTGGTTTCGCGGGGAGCTAATTTCCTTGCAGCGACGGTGTTAAACCCAGGAGTTAGTGATTTGACGGGAAGTTTTAGGTGAGTTTCTCAAAGGCATCTTGCATCCAAAGAAATATTGCTGCTTACACCTGTGTTTTACCAGATTATACAAACGCAGCGTCCTACAACACATTATATCCGTCACACAATCCAAGGGCTACGTTTTCCAGATGGAAATGATGGTCCGCGCGAAAGCGTTAGGCTACACCGTTGGTGAAGTGCCAATTACCTTCGTGGATAGGCTATTCGGCGAGAGTAAGCTTGGTGCGGATGAGATTGTTAGTTATGGGAAAGGTGTATGGGGACTGTTCGTTGGAGTGTAGGATTCGATGTATGTGAGTATTGTACCCTTGAACCCTATGAGGTAGTTTGACTGACGAAGTCAATTTACATCGATAGTTCCCAAAGTCGTTCATTTGATAATGATAACACCCGTTACCTTTTTCATGGTTATGTACCAGTGCCTGTAAGCTATTGCGGTCCATTCCTAACCAGGCCCGTTACGAATCTTTGCTCCGGACGTTCAAAGCAAGTATGTTGGTATGTCCAGAAAGCTCGAACCCCTCGAAAGATGCGTATTGACGGTGTTTCTTGCCTGGACCAGAATTGAAGCTGTGAGCACGGATGTTACAAAGGCCTCCTCTCCGACGCGGACTTGTACTTGCGATTTTGTTACTTCCTGCATGGTCGCCACAATACGGCGATGTTGTTCCGACTCACCATTCACAGAGGAACGAACAATCCGCGACAGTCATGATTCTATGAATCCATCCGAACGAAAAAGCGGGCACCAAGGAGATAGTGTGCCG